CCCCAAAACCCCAAAACCCCAAAACCCCAAAACCCCAAAACCCCAAGAACACTGGGAAAATTGAAGTTCAACCTAATTTATCTGAAAATCAGACTACTTCTTCCTGATGGGTTTTGAGAGTTTGGAGAATAGCTGGAGGGAATCCCATTGCTTTTGGTACTTTTTGTGGTGGAGTTTTGAGACTCTTTGCTTATAGCGTTCTTTGCTTGTGTCTTTTTTATTCAGGGTTTTTGTGAGGGATTGCTCTAGTTTTGTGTAGTATTCAGGGAGTTTAGGGGGGTTTTGTTTGAGTTCGTTGAGTTTTCTCTGTCTGAGTACAATGAGGCTATGGGGTTAGAGGAGGAATACCTGATTACTTGTCTCTTAGCTTCTTGCTGGGAATGTTTTCTGAAGATCTTTTCTACATTGAAAGGAAATTTATTCTCGATGTTGTTGAAGCTGCTTCTAGTTAATTCAGGAGAAAAGTGTCTACCATCTATAACAGACGGACTGATTGAGTTCCTTCTTGAGATTCTCTGATCAGGACTAAATATTTTAGGCATTGACTTCCTTTTGTTTTCAAAGAATCTCCAATGAGATGGAGACTCCACTGTTCCAATTGTCTCCAAGAAAGAGCTAGTATGAAGAGGATTCTTCGGAGGCAAAATCATTTCTTTAGATGCATTTTTATGTAAATGAGTAGGAACATCCTTCAACATATCTCTCAGCCTTGAAGAACTTCTCTTGTCAAGAAAAAGTTTAAATTTTTTCTTGAATTTATTTGTTTTGAGCTCGCTGACAAGTGAATAAGGTTTTTCTTTGATTTCTCCTCTTTCTGTCTGGATCAACTCAACGTTGACATTCTCAAAGTCTGGAAATTGTAACGTCCTCTCTATTTCATTACCATCATCTTTTAAGAAAGAACTCAATTTAAACTTGGAGCTCTTTTTCCTGAATAGTTTTGGGGAATAAACTCTGAATTGTTGAGTTTCGATATCTGACTTCAAAGACTTTCTAAACTCAAGTCCTTTCTTTGTATATACCAGTTTCATTTTTCGAGAATTAATTATTTTAGAATAGATTCGGGGTTTTGGGGTTTTGGGGTTTTGGGGTTTTGGGG